TCAAGAGTTTTTAACACTGCTGCATTCCCAGGGCTCGAACACGAGACCACTGGTTAAGCTGGAAGAGACCCAAGTCATCTCATCCAAGCGCTCTTGGGTTATTTGAAATCATAGTTTGATTCATATGTCAACGTGTTTGTATAGTGTCACATAATTAAGAATATGCTCTTTGAAAGCAAACTTGGATTGTGATGCATGTAATAGTGTTGTACGACTTAGACATCATTATAGTCATGACCTTATAATTTTACATATTACTAAAACAAAAATGTTACAAAATCAGAAACTGGAAAAACTGATGTATATAGTAACTTATGAAGGAGAAATAAATTAATGAGAGGAATAGCCAAGATAAAATCTAATACCAAAACACACACACACACACACAAAAATATATATATAGATCAATGTATTAATTTTATTTTTCATCGGTGTGGTTTATTAGCACGATGGATCAACAGCTATCAACTGTAGCGAGCCCAATGATTTTTTCACAAATAAAAGAAAAATAGATAAATAAATAAATAAAATCAAGCAAATTCAGCTGAATGATGCACATATACATAGAATATAATAATATAGATTTATTGTGAAGATTATACCGACGAAAATAATCCCTCAAAAAATATTCGAAATTCAAATATATATATATATATCACCATTATTATAATCATAAATAACTTGCATCTTAGGAGAAATGTACGTACACTATACGTACTCTTATATATGTGTTGTTGAACAAAACTCAAAATTAGTAAACAGCAGAATAAATACATACCGTACGTTTTGATAATATGATGATGCAAAGGCAAAACTCTGGGGACTATATCGTCTGATAATTTGATAGGTTTCGATTTCGCAACCCTAATTAAGTCGGCCATTTCCTTCGTGTCGCCATGGAGGAGCCTGTAAGGGTTCCCCTTGAACCCTTGTGCCCTCAAACATTTTTCCATGTATTTAGGTCTAATCCACAACCAATAAACTATTTTCCAACTCCAAAACATCAAGAAATATAACATTGCATACAAAAAAAATGTACTCATCATATATAATAATAATAACAACAATAGTAATAATCACAGTATTGTGTGTGTAGAAGGTTAACGTGAATGATCAGAAGAGAGAGACATTTGCATGTATTTATAATATTGGTAAAGGTTACAAGTTTTTTTTTTTTTTTTTT